GTGTGTGTGTGTGTGTGTGTGTGTGTGTGTGTGTGTGTGCGCGTGCGCGCTTGTTTGAACAAGTCAGAGAGTAAGTGTGCACACGTGTACGCGAGAGAGTCCGTGTGTGATTGTTGGTATGTTTGTAATTAGGAAAAGGAGACGGAGAAAATGCACTAGCAAAAGGAATACAGGGATTAAGAGAAGAATGATGAGAAGACTGAGATGAAATATAGGCGGATCTATTGAAAGATGTTTAATTATTTACGTAAAACGCTCCCCATTCACAAACGTTCCCCGGACCGTTTCTTCATCTTTTGTCAATAGTTAACAATATTATTCTGTCGTCTGCACATTATATTCGATCAGTTTCTTCAACCTTGGCAGTAGAGAAAAAATGGCACCCAAATAGTTGTTGAACGATATTGGAGATTTTTTAAACTAGTAAACTAGAGGAGAATACTATTGTGAGGTAGAAGTGCATATTAACAAGTAAAAAACATTTGAGCCGAATCAAATTTGCATGATTACATTTTTTTGTGTGGTCAGTTATTCGACGTTTGCGTTCTTATGGAAACTACCCAAGGGTTCCTTGGGTTTGAGATTTGTTTCAGGTCTTGGCGTGTAAAACTTGATCATATTTAGAACTCGATCTTAAGCTCTTATAAAAGGAGAGCCCCCTTACCTTACCCGCCCCTCCCTCCCCCCCCCCACTCCTCTCCCGCTTCCCGTTTGGTATCTAACAAAAAGTGACTGTGAATCTTGCAAGTACAGTTTATATCTGTGACAACACGATTTTCACCTGCTTTTTCAGCTTGTAAAACGTGTCAATAACGATGACGTTTCCAGTTTCATTGACTTGCAGTAAAAAAAAATTCATAGACAGCCAATATCTTGATATAAATTTCAAGAGAAAACAAAATAAATAAGTATTTCGCTTTTCTGTAGAATGCTAGACGTTGTAAAGAGCTAAATTGTTCTTCTGTCTACATAGTTGTGGCCCGAAAAATGTAAAGATTTTTACGTTTTATAACCTGGACTGCTTGAAATCTTGAGTGGAGACTATTCATCATAATGTACGCTTTCGTGTTTCTCGTCTGTCTTGAAATAAATAGGACATGTATAGATTTATTGCACTTTTAATAATATAGGGTTATTTACAAATTGCATAGCGTCATCATAATATAGGGAATGAAGTGGTTCTTTGCAAAGTAAAGACGGATATATGTACATACGGTCTTTGCAAGCACTTGGCTAACATGAGTGATACTGTTTCTGAATAGCTGGCAGGACCTTGGGAAGTTTTGCTTCATAAATGTAACAATAGTGAACAACGATGGGATACTGTACATTATAGGCAAACCATATTTGATAAATAGAGAAGGAAAGCATGCCATACATGTTCATGAACAAACAATTATTTAAACAATATCAGCAACAATACCCCCCCCCCTCCCGAACGAAAAAATCTAGAAAAAACCCAGAACTGGCAGAAGAATCTTAAGTTCTAAAATCAACAACAATGAACAAGCAAAAACAAACAAATGAAACTATTAACAGACATATTTCATGGTCAATAATAGAAAGAAAAACCCAAAGGTGTTTCTAATGTGTTGCTTAAACGGATACACATTCGTACTAAGATCTTTGATAGACGTTATGATGGCAGCAACAGCCCATTGCAATTGTTTCAACTCTTGTCTGCAAAGTACAAAGACAAGAAATCAGAGAGAAAAAAAAACGACAAAAAAAAAACAACAAAGCATATTAATTGTATATTAACGAAGTATGTTATATTATTATGTTTCACCAAGAAGTCAAGAAAAAGAATCCTGTTGTCAAGAACTTAACGTGGTAGTATTCAAAGTATGCAAGGCATTTCAACATCACAGATCGCCTGATTACAACATGTATAAGGTGTGTTAAACTATTATGTAGACTGACAACGTTGCAGTACAGAAAGGTTATTATGATACAAAGAGATCAATATACAACCAGTATATTACGAGTTATTTGTCTGAAGCAACTACATCGTTTCTTTAAAAAAATATTATCTTTAGCATCTCTTGGAGCTGGGTCCACACTCTGATGTGTGATTCCACAGCAAAAATATTGATAGTTGTGCTGATAGAAATAAACTTTCGTTACTTGAAACTCTGGTGTTGCAGTTTTAATTCAGTTAAATACATTTTTGTCGACAAATGGATTTAGTAAAGGAGTAAGGTTTGTTCTTTATCCGTGTCAATCGGTGGACCACCAAAAAAAGAACCAGAAGAAAAAAATAATAATTATGAGCACATCATGATTCCCAACTCAAAATGATATAATAAAAGAAATTACTGTGCACAAGAAACTCCATGAAACAGACCTGCAGTATTTAATTGATAACCACTGCATGTCCTTTCAAATAAAGTATCAGATGCAGAAAAGTGAGAAAGAAGGAATGTACCGAAGGTGTTGTTCCATCGCTCACAAGGTATCTCCTTCTATACAGAACAGATGATAGGTTTAGTTGAATCCAGTATTCACAAAAGTGCTACTTTGCAGAAATACAAGTCAAGACTAATGTACTTTCATCGTGTGAGGACGATAGGTATTTAACAATGATGGACCACTTTTCAAACTTTGACGTCACAACCCCCCTGCCTCCTGCAGGTTACCTTCTTAGTAGCAACAGCATAAGAAAACATGGTCTTTCTTCGAATAATATTGGTGAAACTGACGCTCTTTTTGGATAGTCCATGGTGACACTGACAATATGTGTGTAACGCGCACCAACATGATCTCTTCAAAAGTAATACTTCATATACTTAAACACACAGGAGTTCTGACCATGTATACTCAATTCTTTCTTGAAATAAAACAAAAGAAGTGCTGAATTACTGTTCCAAGTCTTAGTATATTCTTGTCACTTCTGGAAACCACGCCCGAGTGCACACGTTACGTAACAACACAGGGTTTTCATTGAAATAAGATCTCCTCCTAGCGACCAACATGACAGACAACATTCTGTCTCGGTGTCAAATTTCAACTTCGAAACATTTTCAATTCAGTAAAGTCAAATAACCAAAGTCTTCAAGAGGATCTTAAAGTTTCTTTACAAGTGGTCAGAAACCAAGGCAATTTTTTCAATGATGCTCACCGTCGTTTCAGAATTGACCTGTCCACCATCATGTTTTATATAAAAAAATAAGATCGCCAGCACAAAAGCAGACATTTTCTTATCGTTCTTAGCATTGCAAAATATGTTTCTAAACATTTACATAATTAGATGTATGCAAACCTTTGAGATAATTATGATTATAGTACAATATTTCAGCATTTCAGACTCTGTTTTCTTACACTTCCTAATGGAAATGTTAATTATAATACTGTTACACCCCACAATTTCCTGCAAACACAAAACAATTTAAAGTTATGTAAACTATTCTTACTGGTCTATTCAGTTCTTGTGATCCACTTGCACAGAACTGAAGTCACAACCTCTTTTCTTTTCTGTGGCAGAGCAAACAAATATCAGACTCAATCAAAACTAACATGAACTCCGCCTTAAACAGCACTGTTAAGTATGACCTTCATTAGTTCATTAAAAGTAATTAACAAAGATTTCACCTAACTAAAGGGACGTTTACGATGTTGATAAGTCAAAGATAACTTAATTAATTATGCTTAAAAAAAGCACAGAAGTTAATTTAATTTCAAGCTTCGAACACAACACCCGAATCAGATCAAACAGACGCTGTTCACACTTTCAAGTAGTCGCTGGTTTCCCCCAAAGAGGTATGAAAACACCAAATATTTCAAGTTTAGCTTTATACTAAGTTGGGCTGAAGAGGTGAATTTGTTCAAATGAAAAAGCTCAACATGAGAGCAGAGCGTCATCTGAGATTGAAACCCAGTTGAAAACAATTAATTACATCTGCACGAATTTTGATGTTGAAAGGCATAACTTTCGGTTTCTACAAATTCACATCATCCGCACATTCTAAAATAAGCTACGTTGAAGACTTGCACCAGAAGTGAAGGCGGAGTGTTCACTCGTTGACCGAGCCGCTGTTGGCCGGAAGTCCTTGCTGCTGCCGCCAGCGTGCAAGTCTATGCTCAAACCAGCGCTGAAAGAAAGAGACAAACAGAGAGGACTGTTGAGGTTTTCTTGTCTTATATACAGATTAACAAACCTCTATAAAACATGAACAAATTGCTCCTACGGTGGGGCAAAAACTGTTCTCTAAAATTAAAACAAACAAACAAACAAAAGAATTCTAATATTCCATTATACTTTTATATATTAACATCTAAGTACTATTTTGCACAAGTAAGCATTATGTTTTCACCATTAAATATCACTGTAGAAGAAAAATAATGATCGTCAATTAAAAAAAAAATTGTTATGGAATATGATTTTGTAGGCTCCGAGGCCTCCAGAATCATACAGATAAGTGTTAGTAATAAAGACAAATTGCAAGACAGACAGGCGCACAGATCAATATAGAAAATAGAAAAATAGACCAACAATAAATCTCTAAGATGAAGATAACAGCAGTAGGTCTTCACATAAGTTGGGAGCAGATGCTGAGTGAAAGGAATCCGTTCCCACTCATACTTGCAACATGTGCAACAGAAAAAATAATTACTCTTTCTTCAGGTTGTATTTAATGAACGGGTATCAATAAAACCACAGCATACAGTATTTCAATGAATTCGTATACCTAGCCAAGTTGGCAACAACGCTGACAGTTGATGGGCCATTAATTTTTATGGATCATTCGTTTTGATGACATGCAAAACGAGTAGTTCATACTGTTTGTGCAAGCTCTTGTAGAGCCGGCAGTAGCACGCATTCCAATGGTCAATTAATTCACGAGTAAGGAAAGTGAAAATTGGCTTCAGAAAATCGATACCGGTATGAGTGCAATAGTTAGTATGCCTTCTAGCAACACATGTTGTGCTAATCAGAATAGAACTTGTTTTGTGTACTAGCCTTAATCGGAGTACAGTTTGGACAGAATTATCAGCGACACTAAACACTGTCGACTTAAATAAAACACTATGCCGATGGCCGTAATTCGTATTAGTTTTAAGCAGTTCCATTATGGAACAAGAAAGACATTATAGATAACTAAAAGCATACACACAGATACATAATATTTTAATAACGTTTGAGCGGAGAGAAGAGCGTCAAAATGAAAACAACCTCCTGGTACTAAGAAGTAAATAGCAAAATAGACACACAGACATTACAATTATTTGTGGAGCTCTCCAATGATATACATAACACACACACACACACACACACACACACACACACACACACACACACACACACACACACACACACACACACACACACACGATATTGAAAAACCAATGTTTAAAAACAACATATCAATAGTACAGCAGTTGAGGTAGAGACATGCTAACCGTCTTTCATATTATCTTCTTTTTCTCTTGACCGGCTTCAAAAAGCGATGGCTCTTTCCTTGATTTACGACATACGTGTTCGTGCAACAGATTTTTGTCTAACTTGTTACAAGGAGATTGCTTACTTAAAGGTCCACAGTACGTGCCGAGTGCAGGGCGGTAAGTTAAATGCGCACGTAGAGATAAGCACTTAGTCAAAGTTTCATGGCGTGGGCACACATTATGATTTTAACGGGTGTCTTTGATGTTACTGGTAGGTATGCTGAAAGATACTGGGCCATAAGGTCATGGCTTATTGCATTCCAGAGCCTAGAGGTCGAAACTAGAACGGCATTTCCTTTTTTTCCCAGTATTGTCTGTGTTAATAAAATAAGTCACCTTTTTGTGTCTTGTTAATAACAGTTCCGTTGCCCTACCATCTGGAGATCCAGGCACCCCCCCCCCCCCCACTCACTGGTTGGTGCTTGGATAAGGAGTGGGACATCTTTTCTCCTTACATGCTAGGTCCTCTTTCTCGCCGATCTGTTGGTCAACATTCCAGGCTAGCAAACATACCAAACATAAATAAGACTTCTGAATCACAAAGGGCAAGGTCAGTTTTTTAAAAATGATTTGTGTTGAAGGGACTTGTACTGAAGCATCCCCCGAGGTACACGTATTATGTACTCATAGAATGACTTTCTGCTGCACATTTGTCTATTAGGACGTATTTTAAGGCAGAAAGGAAGAGGAGGTTGATGTTTAGTTCATACAATAAATAACACATTCCCCTGGTCAGAATTCTGTTTTCATATTTAAGAAAGAAAGGTCCTACACTGCTTTGGTAAATGACGTCTAATTTTCCGTCGGACAACTCTATATATTGAAAGTTATTCGTCATTGGGCTTTGCATCTGTGAGAAAGGGTTAACCTGAATCTTAAATGTCTATATCATCGATCTGTTGGGGAGTTTCTCAGACCTTAATCTTGTTTGGGTGCGCGACACAAATTTGAATTACAGTGTTCACGTCAATTTTCTCGTTTCCCTGCATGAATAGACAAACGAGTACGAATCCATTCGCCCATTCAGTGATATTCATCCACTTGGCTTCGATCACCGCGGGCTTTATTCGCAGTAATTTTTAAAGTGATTTTGCTAAGCCTTCTTCTTCTTCTTCTTCTTCTTCTTCTTCTTCTTCTTCTTCTTCTTCTTCTTCTTCTTCTTCTTCTTCTTCTTCTTCTTCTTCTAA